GTCTTTAACAGCAGTGTTTTCTCCCAGGTCTTCTTCAAGCCAGTTAAGAAAGGAAGAACAGCTTAGACACTCAGACAGCTGAACACACCAAAGGTGGACATCATGCAGCCCCCCTGAGCCTTGAGCCTCTCTGTGTGAGGAAGCTTTGCTGCTGCAGACCTGGTGAAGTTGCTCTGCTGCAGTGCTGAAGGTATTCATTGTAATGATGTGTGTATTTATTCAACATGTTTAGTTTCACAGATTATCAACACAAATGTTTCTGTTTATTTCCTGTTTTGAACCAGCTACATTGTCCTACTTCAAGTCTTCAAGTCTGTTCATCCACGGTGTAGCTAGTGCAGCTAATTAATAGTTACCCTACAAGTCCTGCAGTCCTGTGAAGCAAGCTGCAGCAGATGTCATCACATTCAGATCATCAGTTCATCTCTACTGCAGCTTTAAACTGTCCCTGAGGTAACAGTGTATTTCCTTGCCCCATAACAATAACCATGTTTGACAAACATAGAAAAGCACAGTATTACTGTTAGCACAGGATTACAGAGTTAAAGTGAAGAGGATTTTGTTTGTTTTTTTCAGACCTCTCCTCCTCCTGCCTCTGACTCCAGTGATGCTGTCAACTCGAACACTGATAACTGCACACGGCGATTCTACAACCACAGGTCAAAGGTCAAAACATTACCTCACTCTAAACCTTCACTCTGAACTGTACCGGCCTCTGCTTTTGGTTTTGAAAAAAAGTGCCCAGACAGAACACAGTACTCACTTCAGGAACTGACTGATTGTCTTCAGGACAGGACAACTTTTACTCTTATATTGTTTTGAATCCTGTTTTCTACATTAAGTGATCGGTTGTCGATATCTGTTAATATTTTAAGTTTCCTTTATGTTTCTTGGACTTCATTTGTTCTATTTAATTTTAGTATTTTCTTTCCCTTGTACTGTGTATCTGTCCTTATATCAAAAGATGACCAACACTGATGAAGGGAAAAAATACCAGTTACTTCAGTTGTTGCAGGCAGCTGAATTTCTCATTTTAATATGCTCACCATATCCCTCAAATTTACCTACAAGAGAAGACGTGTTTTTAGAAATAAATGATTTACTTGGGGTTTCAGCTGGTAGGTACACTGCAGGTTTTTCACGTGTGCTTAGTCTTGGGCTAATGTCTTGGACAGCAGTGATCCCAGCATTACAGTGTGAAACAATCCCTGCTGAAGGTTGTCGTCACAATCATCAAACACAGGGCTTGGTTAAACGAGCTGTGTGAATGGATTTCATAGAGGAACAAAGTTTTTATGCTTATCCTTAAAATGTCATTCTCCATAGTACATAACTTTTTAAAAATAAACTATCAACATGAAGACAACCCAGCATTTCAGTAAGACAAGTAGTGTGAATGTTTGGATAAGAAAACACTGGGATCTAAAATGCTGACCAGATTGTCAGTCCACTGCAATGAGCTGATGACAGTACTAGCCTTGGTCTAAGTACTGTGAAAAGCCTTTTGGGTGGTAAGGTGGACCAATAGATGCTATAAAAAATACTTCAGTGCCATATTTAAGTTGTTAACCTTTCACCTTTGCCTGTATATTTCCGTACGCCTGAATGACTTTGCATCTTTTGCATTTGCATTGTTTACCTTACCCTCCACATTATATTTCATTTTTCATTTACATTTAATTGAAAAACAATTATTTTAATTTCTGTAAAATACTTCTGTACCACACTGTACAGTAAACTGCTGAGTTATTTTTCCAAACAAAAGTGCTGACCAGATTGTCACTCCACTACAATGAGCTGATGACAGTATTAGCCTTGGTCTACTGTGAAAAGCCTTTTGGTGGTAAGGTGGACCAATACATTACATCAATTTATTTCAAGTTCTCAGATCTACTTTTTAATCTGATTATTTTAGATTTTGTTTAAAGTTTCAGTTTCACATCATTTCATTTTATTTATTATTATAATTATTTATTATTCTATAATTTTCTTTTTTTTCTACATGAGAGGGCCCACATTTCACTGCAGTTAGCTTTAAAAAATACTATAATGCCATATTTAATTCAAAAGCCTTTCACCTTACTTTGCCTGTATATTTGCACAAGCCTGGATAACTTTTAATTATTTCCATTTGCATTCTTTACCTTACCCTTCACATTATTTTACATTTTTATTCACATTTCATTTCTTTTTTAAATTTTAACTTCTCTGAAACAATTCTGTACTACACTTTACAGTAAACTGCTGGGTTATTTTTGCATACTATTCCTCATGTTCCATTCTATACTTTTTGTGATTCACATTTATGTTGTTATACTGCTGACCGATTGTAATAACTACTTTTTTTTATAACTCTCAAGTCACCACTTTCATATATCTTTTTTAATGTATAGGTATAAAGGTTTTTCAGATGTGCAAACTTAGTCTTAGGCTAATCTAAACCCTTAAAAACACGCATAACAGTCCTGTATCACACTTTGAAATCAAATGTCAAGGTCTGTTTTTAAAGCCCACAACACAGGACTTGGCTTAATGGGCCATGACAAATTTTATGAGCCAACTTTTGTTAAGGCTTAGTAATCTGAAAACACAAGAAAAGAGGTGAATGTGGGTACAGGGCTGCTGGAGTTTGAATCCAGTAAATAATGGGGTGTTAGCCTCAGTCTAACAACTGTGTGAAGAGCCTTTAATGATTGGGCTAAACAATTTTACAAACAACTGAAAATGTGATAACTTTATCCATCAACAATCACAGCAACAACAATCTTAAAACCTTAAGCTTAAGAGACAGATTGGTCACCCATGTAAAGATTTCTGCTTCCAAAACCTCTTCACAAACAAATTGTTTATAATTTCATTTAAGCCACTATGGAACACTGTTTCTTTGTGTGTTTATGTTTTCATGTTTTTTGTTTTTGTTTTTTATGTTTTATGATTTATCATTTCATTGCTCACAAAATGTTAAAGGATTGACAAAAATATTTTCTTTTTTTCTTTCTTTTGGTTTTACTTATGTAAAAACTCAGTTTGAATTTTTTAACTTGATGCTAATTTTACATTAAATATATTTCTGTAATGTGTTTATGTCTCATCTACATTCATTTCTACTTCTACCAACATGAAGGCCTTTTCAGCCATCTTTAAAATTATTTACCATATTTTCTGTAGTCTTCAAGTTCAGTTCTTTAGCAATTGGAATATTCATACAGCTTTTGGTTTACCTCTCCCAGTGTTTTTACATCCATACAACTCATCTCTTTTTCATCATCTTCTTCAGTTGTGTTACGGTTTAAACATTCATACAATTTCTACTTATTACACTTCACCCCTTTAACAGTTGTTTCATATATACTCTCCTCCATTTTTTTCACAGTTTTGCATGCTTGGCTTGTCAGTTTTCAGCACTCTGCATTTCCACGCATTTTCTGCACGGAAATGCAATTTTTCTTGAATTTACGTTGATAGTCTTTCACCGTTTCGGAGTGAAGCGTTCAGGGCAGCCTCAGATAAAAGAATGCTGTATTGGACCCGCAGATGTTCACAGAGCCTCATACTGGAAAGCATGTAAAACATAGGAGGACTTTAACACCAATATTTGTGCAGTCAGTACTTTCAAGGCATATCGTAGCTATTGTTTTTTATTACCATTTGTTATTGTTAAAACAAACACAAAAAATACAAATCTGCAACTTCACTTATAATTATTTATATGACCAATTTAATTACAAATGCTCTCATAATTACCGCATATCCACCATACAAAGTAACCCCTAAACTGCCCGGTGCGCGCCGCAAAAATCTCCCGAAATGTATGACCCAAATGTTCCCAGGCATGCAGTAATTACCTTCTAACACTAAGGACTGGTACACCATTTCCGATGCCAAATCTACCCTAGCAACAAATTGATAAAAACGTCACTGTTGGCAGTAAGCCAATCCCGTGCGTCATCATCATATTATTAAAGTTCTCACTACCGCGAAAAACGCCAACAACGACCTACATTTTCTGGAGCCTTCGCGACAGACACAGATAACGCTGACCACTCAAGTAAGTAAAACAAGTTAAACTAACTTTAAACCGTCTTCCTCTAGCTCTGAAATTATATTTTCTCTATTCTTCTCCTCTTCACTGTTTGCTCACATGTAAAAATTGATATGCAAAGGCTACCAAATTACAAATACCGTGTATAGCTCAGGCGGACGATGCTACCATTACTTATACAGTATCTGTTAATTACTTACTTCTCATCATTCAATGTGTTTATGTTTACATTCCTTATTTTACATAAAGCATGTCTACAGACCATATTTTCACTTGTCCAGCTTCCACTTGTATAGTGAGCAATGTGTCACTAATGGACCAATTGGTACATATATCTGCCAAACTGTATATAAGTATTTCCATACGGTGTCATAACAACATTTTGCCGACGGTAACTCTGCTCATACTTACTTCGCCTCATTCTTTATTTGACCCTAACCTGAATTATACACATCCCGACTGCCAGTCTTTTAATAACAATAACGACACTAATAAACACAACCACCGAGGACGCCCACAAGGTCTGTCGCGACTGTTACACACAATTCCCAAGCGGATCCAGGGATATTTTTACATCGTCTTACATCTATCCACAACTTCAACAAAATTACACTTTTTTATCCAAGTCATACTCTAAGCACGCACTCTACGACTTCACAACATAAACTCTGCCACTCATCCTTCTAATGGCTTTTTCATCCTCTCAACACGTCTTCACTTACTACTTTGGATTTCACTTTCTCATTGACTCACAGTTGCCATCTACAGGTGTAAACAACACACAACATGCAGCTGCACACTGACTGACCACAGTATAAGTCACGTCCTCCATTTCATGTTTTATTACATACCATCATATTCATACAATACCAATATCTCCTATTGCCGAAACTGCCACTTCACACAAATATGCTTCTAATTCAATAATTACCAATATTTCCTCTTTTCTCTTTCCAGAATGGCACTTCGCAAACTGTTGGGAAGCAAACCCGAAACACCATATGCCAAACTCCCACCACTACATGTTGTTGTGTTAAAACTAAAAGATGCACCAAAAGTTGTGGCATGGGATTTTAAAGACACACATGTCACCCCCACTTGCACGAAACAAAACAAAATTGCCGTCCTTAGTGATGGTGATTCACTTACAAAAATCACTTTGTATGAAGCAATGGCTTCAAAAGTGCAAGAAGGTCACAGCTACTTCATGCGCGGCTGGACTGTTACAGGGAGCTCTGCTCCATATACTTTAGCTGTTGGCACAGCTACACAGTTCTTTAGAGGCTCTGATATATACTGCTCTGAAGACTTACACAACAGAGCTGAAACCTTACTGGACCCGTCTACTCCTTTAGTTGACCTTCGCCACTGCCAACAACAGCAGGGTCTGATGTCTGTTCAGGGAGAAGTTGCTGAGGTCAGTAGAATGTTTTACAATACAGTTTTTTTTTTTTTCACATTACAAACATCACACATTATGACAATATTTTTACACTTCCCAATTCTTATTCTCTAAATACAGAACTTTTCTTTTTTAGGTGTCATCTATTCGGAAAGTGCAGTCGGGAAGAGATGCTGTACCTGTGAAGAGCATTGTTCTGCAGCAGGTAATCTCTGATACATTATTTTTGTAACATTTCCAATCTCACATGGTATACATCAGACAATCACGTATTACATTCACAAAGACACACACTCTTAATATAACACATACTCTTCAAATAACTATGTCTGTGCTTACTAATGCTTTGGTCATTTATGACTACTGACAAAACAATAATTCAGTTCACACAAGGGTGTCTTTAACCTTTGTTTGTCACTGTACAATAATGACCATGTCAATTTCACTTATGATAATTACTCCACAATCTACATTATGTAATGATACATATTCACAGACAGTTCATATTACAATTTCTACATCCATTCACATATATTTCATTTACTTTAACACCATATCTCTAATCTGGGTCTTTTGCTTATATAACACAACTACCAAACTGCTTTTGCTGGTGTCACTTGTGCTTTTATTACAAATGATAACATATGCTCTTACATTTTACAGGACAACATTAAGGTCACATTGTCACTGTGGAGGGAGGCTGCAATGCAACCTATAAATGTGGGAGAAGTGCTCGAAGTCAGCCATGTCAAGGGACGCACAACTCAATATGGCATTCAAATGGGAACCACCAACTTCACCAGAATTCAGGTACTTACTAGTTGCCTTGTATTTCACTTCAATCACCTCCATGACATTTATATCCTCACTAATCATCATTGAGATCCTCTAAACCAGTGGTTCCCAACCTTTTCTGTATCACGGACCACTTTCATGCAGTACACTTTTTCGAAGGATCAGGTAGGTGTGTGGAGGTTCCAATAACAAGAACCTTAATCAGTACATAGTATGTACATACTACAACAATTGAATACAACAATCTGAATACAACAATTACATTTTATATTACGCACTTTCATTACACTTTAACATCAACTCACCATAATGCACAATCAACCCTTTCTCTCTCCAGTGAACTCTGTTTCTGCCTCATTTTTGCAAGGGCTACGTTGTGTTACTAATGCAAAAAAATTACATTCCCAAGACTCAAGCGAAAAAATTAGGTGATCCGAACTGGTGCTCTTACAAAATAAGATACTAACATTTACTAACATACAGTATTCTAACATACTGATTGATTCACATACTGGTACTGGTCTGGGGCCCAGTGGTTGGGCACCTCTGCTCTAATCCATTATATACCTTATCAAACACATTGAAATTCTCATTCATATACAACTAACATATACAACATACACACAATAATCTCATTTCAGCCAAGCTCATGTCAAACTCTCATAATCCCACAAAAAAAACAACTTTGACACCTTATTACTTCCATAGTCCTATTTATTTGTACTTAATTCTTTTACTTGTTTCATGTTCTTAGCCAGTGTACTGTATGTTATTATACTGTTTCTTTCTCCAATTCAGTACAAGTACTAACAGTTCCTCAGGCCAATGACACTTTACACTAAACTATATTGACACTTTCCAAATGCCAAACACACATAAACCTAATCATCATACTCTTTCCCTATGTTTTCTACACTTCTCCACAGAAACAGCAAACTCTACAACAATTAACCATCCTTGGTGTCCTCACAAAAGACGATGTTCCATCATGCAGCACTACTCCTGCTGACACCATCATAGAGGTACTGCTGGTCACTGGAAGCACTCTCCAAATCCCTGAAACTTTGTGGGACCCTGCCTTTGATGACCTCATCCTCCAAGCGCCACTTAATGTTACCGCTAAGGTTGAAGGTAAACTCATCACCTCTATCAAACTAATATAAATGTTTATTCACAAACTGTACAAAGTTCTACAATTCACACACAGACACACACACCACTAATATAACAACAAACACAATCACTCCTTCCACAACATACCCCACACTTAATACATATTCTGTTATAGCTTTTGATTTTGTAAATAGTTCTTCCACAAACACACAAATACACACACACACATTCTGTTTTGAAAAATAGTTCCGTTTCTACTTGTTCCTTCTTTGACTATATTCCACAATAAAGGATTGTTCAACAAATACGCTGTTCTCTGTACCTTGTTTTCTTTCTACTAAGCTTAACTATCATATCACTATTACTTTACAAATGGTTCTATTACATTCTTACTTCTTAATAACACACAACACTTTCTGCTGTGTATAGGCTGTATTGGGACAGAGGAAAAAGTGCTTAGAAAGTGAATCTCCTTCCACTTCAGTGGGGCAACATAAACTGTGATTCATAAAACAGCTCTATTGATAGTGAGTACTAAAAAAATATATCTACTCATGCCATCCTGTCGATTTTTAGTAATCAGTGTTTCGGTGTGGAACTATTTCCCTTCTGCGGCGTAGTGATACTTGCACACGCGCAATCGAATATGCAGGGGGTGAAGCCATTTTTGTCATGTGGACCGATAGGAGCCGAGTCTCGTTGCCATAGTATCACAAATACACAAACATGGCGACGACCGCATCTCACAGCGAGACAAGCGAAGAGGAAGAAAAGAAAAGGAACAAAAGAAAACAGCCTTCAAAAGTGCATAAAAAGGAGCGAAACGATGTTATATGCATCTGTCATCTGTCCAGAGTGAAGACGTTCTCGACTTTACAAGGTCATGTTGGTAAACTTACAGAACTAGTATTGGAAAGTGTCTTTCTCTACAGGGTGAGACAAAGGACCTTGCAGAAACGTATAAACTTTTATGAAGTATTTTAACGAAATTCACTTTCTAGGCACTTTTTCCTTTGTCCCAATACAGCTTATGACCTCGACCGAAGTTTCTTTCGCGGAGTTTCAGATGCCGTGGACGTGGATGCATGCTGCGTTAAGGGTTTGACTGACCCGTGGCTGCATCACGTTCTTGTTTATCAAACCCCTTTTGCAAAAAAATCACTGGTAGCATGTCATGTGAAACCCAGCCTCATCAGAACATTGTCAAAGTCGATATCAACCCAAAGTTTATACGTTTCTGCAAGGTCCTTTGTCTCACCCTGAAGAGAAAGCCACTTTCCAATAATAGTTCTGTAAGTTTCCCAACGTGTCCTTGTAAAGTCGAGAACGTCTTCACTCTGGACAGATGACAGATGCAGATAGCATCGTTTCGTTCCATTTTTATGCACTTCTGAAGGCTGTTTTCTTTTGTTCCTTTTCTAATCTTCCTCTTCGCTTGTCTCGCTGCGAGATGCGGTCGTCGCCATGTTTGTGTATTTCTGATACTATGGCAACGACACTCGGCTCCTATTCCACGTGACAAAAATGGCTTCACCCCCTGCATATTCGATTGCGCGTGTGCAAGTATCACTACGCCGCAGAAAGGAAATAGTTCCACACCGAAACACTGATTACTAAAAATCGACAGGATGGCATGAGTAGATATCTTTTTTTAGTACTCACTATCAATAGAGCTGTTTTATGAATCACAGTTTATGTTGCCCCACTGAAGTGGAAGGAGATTCACTATATATATTGCACTTTTCAACACTTTTGAGCCTGATCTGTCTCCATACACTAGATGGTGCTATTCTCCATTCTGAAGTTACTATGGTTGGATGCTGCAGACTGCACACATGTGTTTTGTCATTTCTACATTTAATTGAAACATTGTTTCACATTAATTAAGGCATTTCTTTTTCAAAATCACTTATACTGATTATCATTTCTGTGAACTCACAAAAGTCATGTAATTAGTTTTTACTTTGTCTATCATACAATTTGTACATTCATTCAACTTTTTTACCTTGAGCTACAGTACAATTTTTACATTAATACTGTTTCTTCTTCTTCTACTGCACCTTTTCAACAGTTTTTCCATTCATAACTTCCTCTATTTTTTATTGGCAGTTTACCATTGCTTTTTCAGCTTTCAGCACTCAGCATTTCCACGCATTTTCTGCAAGGAAATGCAATTTTTCTAGTTAAGTGGAAATGCTGACACAGCATTTCCACTTATTGTTATTCTACTATTTCTTTATTATTATTATTATTATTTTTATTTTTATTATTATTCTTCCGTACCTTTTTTGGCCCTTTTCAACTCCTTACCACTTTGTGCTATTTTCACCATTCAAACTTTATACTAATGCACTCCTTCAGGACATTATTGCTATTACTTTTCACCTTTGTACCATTTATACTTTTTGCAATATTTCACTTTTTCTGCAAAATTTGTTCCATTACAAATGAATGGAGATACAGCTATAACACCTTCTCACCCTTATAACTTCTGCATACTTTCACCTACAGACCTCATTTTTGCTTTAAAATGTTCAGCAACATGTCTGCTACAAATGTTGTATTCACTCCATTTTGCTATTTCCTACCGTTTTTGCACAATTTCGCTTGGAGCAACATGAAGTTTTCTCCCTTTTTCAGCCTGACTCACGCTACAGCGTCTGACGTCATCACTCGATGCGGGCGGGGCCTTTTGGATTCAGTAGACCAAGCGTGTTTATTTTGCTGCCGCGGCCGCAAGTTTCACTCCACAGCCATAAAAAACACATCAAAATGGAGGTACACTCGTCCTGCTTCTCACAAAATCGGTCTGAAGTCATGAAATTGTACAGCTTGCCCAGGAGGTGAGTACATTCCTTAGGAGCCAGAGATTCTGCACTTGTCATGGGCTGTGTGCTTCGATCGCACACGCACGGACTTGGCCGCTCGTGCGCGCGCGGGCACACACACACACACACACACACACTGTTTCCATGAGTGCATTACTGTGTCTCTTACTATCTCTCTGTCAGATTCTGCACTTGTCATGGGATGTGTGCTTCGATCGCACACGCACGGACTTGGCCGCTCGTGCGCGCGCGGGCACACACACATACACACACACACTGTTTCCATGAGTGCATTAATGTCTCTCTTTCTCTCTTACTGTCTCTGTCAGATTCTGCACTTGTCATGGGCTGTGTGCTTCGATCACACACGCATATGCACACGCACGGGCTCGGCCGCGCGCGCGCGCGGGCACACACACACACACACACACACACACACACACACACACACACACACACACACACACACTGTTTCCATGTGTGCATTACTGTCTCTCTGTCAGTAGAAAATACAGCCCCAATATGAACTTTGTTGTTACAGTTCTTGTCTTTAACTCTTTTAACATACTAACTTCTTCTTTTTCTTCTACTTCTGCTTTTCTTTTCTATACTTTCTACATTTATACAATTAATTTAACTTCAGCTGTTTCATACTTTCTGCATTCAGATGTAGGGCAGTAACTGAAGCAGGGCAATAGATGGTGCTGTTCTGCATTCTCAAGTTACTATGGTTGGATGCTGCAGACTGCAAAAATCTGTTTTACTATTTGTACATTTAATAGGAACATTGTTACACATTGTTTAAAGGCATTTGTTTTTCAATTTCAATTATCCATATCAGTTCTGTTTATTCACATCAATCATATACATTTTTCACTTAGGCTATCAGACAATTTGTACATTAATCCAACTAATTTACCTCCAGCTATACTACAATTCTTCCATTCATACAATTTCTTCTTCTTCTACTCCACCTTTTCTACAGTTTTTCCGTTTATACCTTCCTCCATTTTTTATTGGCAGTTTTGCATTGCTTTTTCAGCTTTCAGCACTCAGCATTTCCACGCATTTTCTGCAAGGAAATGCAATTTTTCTAGTTATTATTATTATTCTTCCGTACCTTTTTTGGCCCTTTTCAACTCCTCACCACTTTGTGCTATTTTCACCATTCAAACTTTATACTAATGCACTCCTTCAGGACATTACGGCTATTACTTTTCACCTTTCTACCATTTATACTTTTTGCAATATTTCACTTTTTCTGCAAAATTTGTTCCATTACAAATGAATGGAGATACAGCTATAACACCTTCTCACCCTTATAACTTCTGCATACTTTCACCTACAGGCATCATTTTTGCTTTAAAATGTTCAGCAACTCGTCTGCTACAAATGTTGTATTCACTCCTTTTTGCTATTTTCTACCGTTTTTGCACAATTTCGCTTGGAGCAACATGAAGTTCTCTGCCTTTTTCAGCCTGACTCACGCTACAGCGTGTGACGTCAGATGTTACGTCACCGCTAGATGCGGGCGGGGCCTTTTGGATTCACTAGACCAAGCGTGTTTATTCTGCTGCCGCGGCCGCAAGTTTCACTCCACAGCCATAAAAAACACATCAAAATGGAGGTACACTCGTCCTGCTTCTCACAAAATCGGTCTGAAGTCATGAAATTGTACAGCTTGCCCAGGAGGTGAGTACATTCCTTCAGAGCCAGAAATTCTGCACTTGTCATGGGCTGTGTGCTTCGATCGCACACGCACGGACTTGGCCGCTCGTGCGCGCGCGGGCACACACACATACACACACACTGTTTCCATGAGTGCATTACTGTGTCTCTTTCTCTCTTACTGTCTCTGTCAGATTCTGCACTTGTCATGGGCTGTGTGCTTCGATCGCAAACGCACGGACTTGGCCGCTCGTGCGCGCGCGGGCACACACACATACACACACACTGTTTCCATGAGTGCATTACTGTGTCTCTTTCTCTCTTACTGTCTCTGTCAGATTCTGCACTTGTCATGGGCTGTGTGCTTCGATCACACACGCATATGCACACGCACGGGCTCGGCCGCGCGCGCGCGCGCACACACACACACACACACACACACACACACACACACACACACACACACACACACACACTGTTTCCATGTGTGCAATACTGTCTCTCTGTCAGTAGAAAATACAGCCCCAATATGAACTTTGTTGTTACAGTTCTTG